TCCAGCAGAGGTCATCATTATTTAGTACAACCAGTAAATAAATGTGAGAAGACTCTTATCTGTACCAAATACTTCTTCAGATTGTTATATTTTTTAAAAAAGCATGAAATAATTCATTTAAAAGCCAACTAACAGCGCATAAATAAAATATTTACTTTCTAAGAAAAACTGTAGCTTATCATCAAATTGTTTACTTGTCCTTTACTTTTTTTCAGGCAAACAAAACTGCCCCTCAATGCACTTCATCTTGGTAAGCATAAGCGTGTTATATTCTCCTTAGAGAAAAATCTGTACAGAATTTCACTGTATCTACCACACTTTATTTTAAAACTTCCTCGTCCACTTAGAAAATGACTTCACCACAGATTTAAATGTGTACTGGTATTAAAACATTGACACTCCAAGAACCTAGTGAGAGAGAGAGAAAAAAAAAACTCGTTAAAATAGTCATTCATCTCTTAGTAAAAAAAATCTGTAAATATTATAATACTTTATCATTGTTATATTAAGTAACATACTAATCAAACCACTCTGAAAACATCTCTTCAGACATATAATTACAAAATAAAGTGATCATTAATAAATAATAAAATAATACTAGTAGAAGTCAATTAAGTCACAAACATAACTAACAGTAGGGACTCTGAAATGATTGTTATATAATCCCTTAATGCCTGAACTCAACATTTGTTGAATGAACAAATCAATGTAATTCCCTGCATATCCTTCTAGCAAGGGTTCACTGGAAAGAATTTAAGAAAGTCTTATGAACTTAGTTCTTGGTACCCTTAAGTGGGTTGTTTTTGTTGTTGTTGTTTTTTAAACTGGCATCTATCTGACCATGAAGACCAAAAGAAAAATCCAAGAACAATACCTATGTAAAAAAAAAATAAAAAGCTTTCTTTAGAAAAATCTGTTCCGAGGTAGTGAACAGAAGTATAAATTTTAAGGAATTAACAACTAAGGTATAATCTGAGCAAAATGAATTATACTGGTGTTTTTTCTTTCTAATGCATTCCAGTTATAAAAAGATTGGTTGGCAAATTCTGATAATAACTTGTCACTAGAAGGGAATAACTCCACCCTTTTCACTAAAGCATCGAGTAACTTTTACTGCACTTGTTATATGCTAAATGTTTCCACTAAAATTCTAGCACTTATTTGACCAATTAAGCAAAACTTTAGACTATTGTGAATGATCGAGACCAGCTAGCAAAGAAAGAACTGAGAGCAAGATAACTAAGGGTTCAGACTTCTCTCTTAAACACAAGTCAGAACCTCATGATTGTTCTCATCTTTAAGACATTGTTTATTTTTAAACAAAAGGAAATTAATGTCTTGTCGTGGCAAATTATCAAGTAGTGTGTGGAATTCCCAGTAATGAAAATAAAAAGGAGTCACACATTCTCCATTCATCACCACTACCACACTTCTTTTTCCTTCCTGCTTCTCTAAGAAGTCTCAGGGTTCTCTTGTCAGTTAGTCAAGAATTGGGTGGTTAGAATGTTTGAATTAAAGAGGCCTAGAAGATGTTTACAAGTTTCTTCTATCCAAAATACTCGAGGACTTTAAGTAGAGCTTCAATTACTAAAGTAAGGGCAAACTATTTGTCTCTGTATTTTGCCTGCATGTATATGTTTAGCACATGAATGCCATGCCTGGAGAGGCCAGTAGAAAGCATCGAATTCCCTGGAAGCAGAGTTACAGGCAGTTGTGGAGCATCGTATTTGTGCTGGGAATGCAACCCAGGTCCTCTAGAAGAACAGCAAGTGCTCTTAATCACTGAGCCAACTTTCCAAGCCCAATTTTTAATGTAGAGCATAATACTAAGATGATCTCAGATATTTTTCAAACATAGTGGCTAATCAGAAAGCAGCCAAACAGCTGACATTCATTTAGTTTTATACACGTAGGTTTACAATCAGATTTTCCCACTAGAATATTAAATTACCTTCACTATATTGAGCTCTACTTTGTTAATTTCATGCTACAGATAATTCTAGTAAGAGAAACTTAACACATTATACTACTTCTGATGTCAGCATTAATAAATACTCAAGCACGTATTTCAAAGAACAAATTTTAAACGTTGGAGTATTATGCAAATACTGGCAGGAGAATGACCATAATCACAGGAGATAAACCAGTTTTGTTTCCAGGTATGAAACTAGTTATATTATTAAACTAAAATCGTTATGTGTATGTAACTCTAAAATGATATTCTCATAATTTGTACACTACCATTCCTAGACAATGTGAAAATCATGTTCCCAAAGATAGAATTTGTTTAGTGACAGCCTGATGTATCTATATATTGAGTGCTTTGAGTTACTTCTCTCAGAATTAGAGAATCTTAGAAATGGGCATTAAGAGATTCAAATTCCAGTTTTATTATTTTAATGACATTTATCATAAGTTAGATTATTCTCTATTTACCATAAGAAGACATTTTTTGCATTTAGTATCTTCTATTAGTCCTGTTTCTTATGGTTTTTAAAGTCCTGAAAATTTAAAATAAAGAGTCGAAGACTTCTAAAGGTACCCAAACCTTTACAGATTACTTAGCACTCAGTTATGTGACTGCTGCCATCATGTGGTAATCTTATAAAATTACATACATATTGGCACATGAGCTCATTGCCTTATTTCATTATCACAGGTATCTAAATATCAAATTAGCAAGTTTACTATTTACTTCCAATATTCATTATACATCCGATTGTGATAAAGCTGTATTAATATAAATATCGCTTCCTTTTTTCTCTGCTTGTTAAATGTCTAAAAGGGTAAAGTTTCTATGGCTGTTTCATTATTTAGTACTCTGACAAATAAATGTTTTTTGTACCCATAGTATATTATGAAGGAAACAAATGGCACTAGATAAATGCATGATAAAAAATGGAAAGCTCCACCTAGCACATCAATTTTGACTTTATCATTTCAAATTCCTAATCATACTTTTTAGTATTTGACACAAATAAGAACTAATTTTAGTTTTAGTTTATTACATATGGCAGGGAGTTCTATCAAATTAATATGCTGAGGGTTTTAAATAATTTGTATACCACATAATTCAATATACATTTAAACTATAGAATTATGGGTAGGTCAGGTTGCCTCTTGCTATAGAACCATGTAATCAAAGAATGTCTGGAGTCCTGAAGTACCAACAGCACTTGTTAAAGATGCATAACCTCAGGCCACACTCCAGACCTTCAAATATAAAAATCTAGCTGTATTTTTAAAAGATCTCTGGGTGACTCAACTGTACATTAGAAATCGAGAATGAATGATTTTTGAAAAGATCTCTCCCGAGGGGCTGAAATATAGCTCAGTGATAAGGCATTTACCTAGCACATGTAAGGCCCAACATCAACTACCAGCATCACATAACAAATAAATAAGAAGCTCTGTTCAAGGGTTAGGGTTAGATCTATATGCACTTCTCTATAGTGCTTTCATGTCAAACAACCAATTAGAAATATATTAGATGACTTGATTTGTCAAAACATTTCCAGTATCTGTCTGGAAGCAGGTTATAAGGTCAACCAGGGCAAGGAAATGGGTAAGTAGAAGATAATACTACCTCAGAGGATAGAACAATAGTTACCCAAGCTAGTATAGGGAAGAAGCAGCATGAATGGGTGAGATGGAAAGACATGCAAATTATTTGACAAAACTAACTATCCTGTTAGGCAGAACTCAAAATGAAGAGACTTGCCACTGCCTCAAGCACTGCAGTCCATTCAGGCCAGGACATTTACTAACCTATCTTACTATACCAGTGGAATTATCCCAATGAAAGAATGCAAGAAGTATTAAAGTAACAGAAATACCTATCTGGAGATGCCAGCAAAAATATTATAACCTAGATCTCATTCTATTACACCTCAATCTCATTCTTCACTATCAAAATCCTTGTTTTCTTTCTGAGAGAATGTGGTCGACACTGGCCTTGACCTCATGATACTCTTTCAGTTTCCAAATTGTACCCATAACAGGTGTCTGCTATTACTCTCAGTTGTATGTTATCAATTTTCATCAGGCCTTTTTATTATAATTATTCCCCTATTTATTCTGCCCACCCATAAATGCCAAAGAATTCTTGCTGAGATAATTTATAATTCTGATTCATATCATTCCCTCATTTGAAATTCTTCAACAGGCAACCAAAATCTACAAGACAGGTCTAAGTGCTTAACATTCAAAAACCAGTTGGTCAAGAATTTCAAAGTATTTTTCACGCTTATCATTACTTCATCAGATCACTGCCTAAAGTTTTGATTTAAAAATCCTGGGGCATATTTAAATTAAACCTACTGATTCATCCATAATTGAAGCTGGATCAAAGAAATCAGGCTTCAGTTCTGTTCTCTCCCGTCTATTCTTCGATGGTGGCTAAGGAAAGAAAAGAGAAAGTTGGCTTTAACCTTAGCACTCTGGAGGCAGAGGCAAGCAGATCTCTGTGAGTTCAAGACCAGCCTAGTCTACAAAGCAAGTTTCATGACAGCCAGGGCTGTTACACACAGAAACCCGGATCTTATAACCCCCCCCCCACCTCCCTCTCCCTCTCTCTCTCTCACACACACACAAAACCACTCTTCTAGTATCATTTTCCTTGAAAGACACCATAAAGGGAAACAGCAGTTCTTTCTTTCAAGGAGAATACTCAGTAGTACATAAAATACCACAGGGACTTGTCCTGCTATAAATTCAGCTTTATGAATTATAGGATTTCTTCTCCTTGGGTAAGTTAACTTTTTAAGCTTTAATATCATCTCAGTTTATCTCACAAAGTTCAATGAGACTGTTGCCAAAATATAAGCATATTGTCTCTCTCTTTCTGCAATCTCTGAGGAGGCAGACAGATCTCTGTCTCTTCTCTCTTTCTCCCTCTCCCCCCAAAAAACTTACTTCCCATGTAAAAAAAGGAATATAAGCATATTGCATATAACATAACCATATGTAACTTATTTTTAGAAAATTTTGTATGTATTTACCTTCTCAAGTTTCAAGTAATGTTAATTTAATTACAATAGGAAAGTCTGCCTCAAGATTTCAACCAAGAATATACTATATTTGGAAATGAAAAATTAGAAAGTGATGGTACTTAATATACTCAATAACTTTAAAAACTTAGTATGTAAACACTGAGTATTATTTGATTTTTGTAGTCAAATTAAAATAAGCAAAATAAAGTCCCTTATAATCCTATACACTATTAAATTAATATCAAATATAAATGCACAATTTATTATTTCAAATTGTTAGAATATTTTTTTAAAAACCTGCTTCTTGCCTTCAGAAACTGAACTTTTGCTCAACCTTGCAACCAAGTTAATAATATGCCTTAAGACAATTCAAAACATTATTGCTTGTTTTCTCTGCATAGCTCTGGCTGTCCTGGAACTTGCTCTACACACCAGGCTGGCCTTGAACTCCAAGATCTTCCTTCCTGTCTCCTAAGTGCTGGTACTAAAGGTATGGGCCACCATTGCCCAGCTGAGACCATCTATTTAATCAATCTGTATATTCAGCCTATTTAACTTATTAACCAATATTACTATACCTTGGACTTCCCATGTAATCAGCATTTTACACTTAAACAAATAACTTTAATCTTAAATTATGTACCCTTCCATGTTCCTGACCCAGAACAACTCTGTGTGTGTTTGTGAGAGAGAGAGAATGAGAATGTTGTGGTAATCATTTTCTGAAAACAGCCAATGGATTGAAAATAACCTTAAAGAAAACAGTATCTACTATAAATGTTGTATATAGGAAGAATCTGTTTTCTTATGTGGTACAGATTCATCAAACTAAGATCTAACACCCTCACCAGCAGCCGCACACATGCCTCAATCCCTTCTCATACACTTAAATCCCTGAAAGGAACTTTAACGTTTTTGTAGAACTTAATTTTTAATCTTTCTCTAAGAAATGCCAACTTTCTTTTTCAAAGGATTTAAAGAGGAAATATTTTCTTGCTTCTGGATGTTTCTTACCAAGTCTATATCCATGGTGTCAAAGTCCATTCCCTCATTAAGATCCTCAATCCGCCCTTCTGAGGACATCATGACATCTTCAACAATTGGCTCTTCATCATCTTCCATTAGGCTTGTACCACGCCGACTAGAGAAATATAAAACAAGGTAAAGATCTGAACCAATGTCATGACTACTGATAGATAGGCAGCAAGTATGTAGCTTTCTATATTCGAGTAGAATGGAAAATGATGGAATTAAAGGCCAGGGAGAATGATTAGGCATTGATCATGTCATCAATGGTGTCAAAATCCCAATGTTTAAAAATACTAAAGACTTGTTTATTCTACATTACTTCAATACATTTAGTTTGTTACTTCTGATATGCCATGTACAATGTTCAATGAGAATTTTCCACATGTAAACAGAGCAGATACCTCAAATCCTTTTTGAAAGTAGGCAGGGTACAAATTAATAAATAAACATAAAACAGACCAAAGAAAAGACATTTTCAGAATGCATATATTCTAATTATACATAACACTGATGTTAATCATTACTCATTCATTCAGTGCCAAATATGTATACCAGTCATACATTCATTCACACACTCACATGACACCTACTCCATGGCAGGCTGCTATTGTGTCCTATGGACGAAAAAAGTGAGTAAAATATGATTCCTGCCCTCAAGGAGCTTACAGTATACTACAGGAAAGCAGATAAACGTGACAACATGATACACATTACAATGTATGCATCAAATGCTTTAAGGGCACACCAAGAGAATTCATTTTGCCTCATAAAAATGAACACTTAATGCTCAAAGCTGAATTCTTTCATACTATGAAACTCAAAGCCAATACTTTATATAAAATGAAAAATAACATCAAGATCAAAAGCTGTGTTTTTCATATAATTACAGGGAAAATAAACTAAGTTCACAAATGAGCCCAGATCAGCATAAAGTAGGCAGCCCAGTGGTGAATTTGCATGTGACTTCTTCCCTTCCAGTTTGGCTGACATTACTGTCTTTTCTTTCCAAAGATCCCTCAGATCCCCAAAACCACTCACCAAAACCTACATTATTTAAGTAGTTTCAATGTATACAATACTGTAGTGGATCACAATATCTGATTCAGGCTTTCTGAACAAATATGATAATGTCAGGCATAATAATTCTGGATAATAAAAGACAATTTTATTGTACTTTTGTGAAAATAAAAGCAAAGGCAATCTGTGTGTTTTGCAGATCATATAATCAAAAACCAGAAATCCATTCTATATTTCCTTTACAATACACTGAAGGTATATATGATATAAACTATGGAGGAAAATGTAATTCAGAAATTATTCTAGTTACAGGGTAGGTACATTAATGAAAGAAAAATCATTGTAAAGCAAAAGTACTTTAATGTTTCCGGCAACCAACCATTTATGGTACAACCACCAAAAGTATCCTCCAGTAATAGCTGTTTAACTCAGACAATCACTTTTAGTTGTCGGGAGATTGCCTACAACCAAGAACCAAACCAAATTGCAAACAAAAAGAATAATGAAAATGGTACTGAATAATGAGATGTTCTAGATCACAAAGATCTTGAGGACTGGTGCCAAGTTTTTAGAGGACAAATATAAACCAAATAATTATATGGCAGAATTCTGAACTGCTTGGATGATGTTTAATTGGAAACTAAGGACTCAGTTGTAGGATCAATCAAGCATGAAGTAAAATACAAAATAAGGACAATATAGCAAGAGAAACAGGACAAAACCAAGTGCTAATGCAGATAACAACCAGAGAAGACAAGTCATAATGGCACATATTTAGTGCATCCATAGAAGGTCATAAAACCACTACAGGGATAACTAGAGTGAATATTTACATTCCACCATTCATGTGGCAAATTCTTAAAGTCAACAACATAAAACAAAATATAAATTTTAAAAGAGGTAACAATCACTATCTCCCAAGTTTAAAAAAATACAATATGTTACAATGCTTTCAAACTTAAAATAATTAGAATAACATTTTTGCCATGTATATAAAGCATGATCTCAATCTACTTGTCAGCAATTTCATGAAAATTTCTCAAGTATTTATCAAGTTCCCATACAGAAGTCAGTAAAAACAAAGCAAGAACAAATTTTAAGCAATGAACATTGACTCATTCCAGAAACATTTGCTTAGCGTTTTCTATGTGTCAAGCTCTACCAAGCAATGAATGAGGTCCCTGCTCTTGAGGAGCTCACAGTCTAGAGAAATGGACAAAATTGCAATACACAAATAATTACAATACAATATGGCAAATGCTGTAAGAAATACAAATATACAGTGTTATGGGGTCATAGATGATTACAGTTTCACTTAAGGTGGCACTTAAGCCTGTTTTCACCATGATTTTATAAGTTTACAGGTAATGAGATGTGATATACTAAAATGGAGGCAGGAGGCATATTTTGAAAGATTTTGCATGCCATGAACTAAGAAACTGAACTTTATCCAGCAGGCAATGGGAAGCCATGGAAAAGTTCTAAGTAAGAAAGTTACATGGTAAGATTTTTATTCTAAAATTCTAATTCTGGATGGTAGTGTGAATGATGGAGTGGTAGAAAGTGTGAAGGGAGAGGTTTGGTGAGCGGATAAATGGGTGGGAGTTTAAAGGAAGAAAACCAGTTAGAAAGCTAATTACAATAGTTCAGGTGAAAGATGAGGACCTGAACTAAGATGGGAATATAATTAAGATGTAACACAAATGTATTTTTACTTCTGTGTACCAAAATAAACAAGGATTCATATTTATATTTTTCCAACAGATCAATCTAAGTATGATTGGTCCTTTGGCTAGCTAGTTAATATTTGACTTGAAACATTTTCTATTTCTGTTGGAAAGACCAAATTCTAGTTCCTTGATTATTTCAGCTTAGTTACTCTAGAGAGCTTGCTGAAATTGTAGATACGGCACACATTAACGTATGTTAAGATGAATTAGTGAACTTCCTAGACTCAGACAATAAGGCACTCTCACTTACATGGCATGCTGAAGATTAGTTCGCAGTTTAACATAGCTCATTGCTGCTCTCTCCTGCTGTTGCCTTGCTTCCTCTTGCTGTCTTTGAGCTAACATCCATGTTACCTGCGTGCTTCAAGGAGAATTTTATTCTTCTTTTAACTTAACTTTTTTCTATGTAATTAATAAAGTTCTAGTAAAGAAAATGATCGAATGTACTTACTTATAATCAAGAGGAGTTTGATGGTGTTCTGTCTGCATTGGATAGACACTCATGAAGCTATCCTCAGGCCGCAATCTTTTAGGTTCTCTCATAATAGTGGAGGTGAGCTGTGGCGTCTGCATCATAACAGGGGAAAGGAGTGTTTGCTCTCTGCTTAGCCACATACTGTCACTACTGCTGCTTTCTTCAGCTGGAAGAGAAAATTGACAGCAATCAAGTTTGGCTACTAATTGTATGTAACTCATCTGGAGGAATCTGTAACTCATTTAAAACAACAAACATCTGGTTGCTTCCACATTCTAGAGCTAGAACCTGGGTCACACAAAGGTATGTATGTTCAGCCCTCCAGTCTGTTTGTGAAGAAAGAACAGGTAAGCAAATGACAACATAGTATGGTAAGTGTTAGGAGAAAAGGAATACATAGGGCACGGGAGTAGTGACAGATTAGAGACAGCTGCCCACAAGAAATAGTAAGCAAGAGCAGGAAGCATCTGCACTCGGAAAGATTCTCTAGGTTGATCACGGAGGCAATGAGCAAATCATATTAATCTGTTGGTTCAAACTAATACCTTGCTGCTATATGGATGTGAAGATTTAAGGAGTAAGATGAGACTGGATAAAGAAGCAGGTTTCAACCTGTAGCCGTGGGCATGGTAGGGAGGCTGCAATTATCAGCATTCAGGACAAGGTGAAAAGAGCAGAAGTTCAAAGTGAAATTGCGTTTCAAAATCCAATGCAACCAAACAAAAGAGGAATTAATGTATAGAACATTTTGTGATCTGAGTTAAGGTGACAATGAACCAACCGTTGCTAACAGCTTGAAGAAAATGAAGCAATTTGGTGAGTTACATGTTTTAGTGACTATGGTAGTAGTATGGTTGGTAGACTTAATAGGAAGGTTAGTTAAAGGGTAATAGGCCAGATAGGAGAGTAAGCCATGTTGCTTGGAGAAATCCAATTTGGTATTGAGGATGGGGATTAGTAAGAAGGGTGGTTTTCAGTCTATAGGATGATTCCATTTTAAGAGCTTAATGTCAAAGAAAACACAAGTCTATATATAAGTTAAGTAGTGGACTATTAAAAAGTCACACCTGTAAAATCTACCCCCTCCAGACAAAAATAGGTATCCCCATGATTACAAATGACAAATTCACATGTCAGTGTCATTGAGTTAATAGTACGGTAAAACTAGTTACTATGAATTCGGAAGAGAGTTCTTTTACTACAAGACTGAGTGTGCACACAATTCATGCACATGTATACTGTTTTGAGGATAAATGTGCTCATACCCAAGTACTTGAGGGATGAGACATAACTGCATGTAATACAATATAGTAAGATTATTTTGAGTTCTACTAAGTTCAGGGTCATGTTCCATTGACCTGGCATTTATCCTTCCTTTCCCTTATCTATATACACTAATTTACATTTTGTTTTGTTTTTCAAGACAGGGTTTCTCTAGACAGCTCTTGGCAGTCCTAGAACTCACATTGTAGACCCGGCTGGTCTCAAACTCATAGTGATCCCCCTGCCTCTGCCTCCCAGGCACTGGCATTAAAAGCATGCACCACCACCACCCACCTCTTCCACTCATTTATTAATTGCAATTTATATATAGCTATCCAATACCTAAAAAGATCATTTATATTGTCTATAAAAATTTCATTTCATTTAATAATCTATTTGTAAGATGTTATATAAGTACCAATGCATGAAAGTGTTGCACAGAATATAAAGGAATAACTTAGTGACACAACACAAATTGTTAAAAAGTCAAAGAAACGATTTTTGAAATTTATAATCATATTCAAGATTATAATTTGCTAACATGTCTACTAAAAATGATACTTCTTATAGTTTCTTATAAAGCATCACATTCCAATTTCAGGGTTCTTCCCTCGGCTGCAGATATGCTGGGACTTTATAGCCAGGCCTAAAATTCTAAAATTGGACAAGTTACAGGTTATGATTAGACAAAAGACACTGAAATCATCTAGCAATCAAATTTGAGTGCTGCACACTCTACAGTGGTACACTTCTCTAGTCCCATCCCTTGGAAAACATGGAGAAGAGATTCATGAGTTCAAGACCAGCTTGGGATATAAAACAAGGCTCTGTCTCATGAAAAACAAAACAAAAGATGAGGTGAAGGCATGTATCCTTTCCCTGGAATCTCTACTGATTTCCTAGCCAACAAAATATTAAAGGAGTTTGGCAACACCAGTTTCCAAGCTGGGGCCTTACACTGGAAGCTTCCACATCTTCTTTTAGAGTAACAGCTCTTGGAGCTTAGTGAGATACTGATATGGAGACAATCTAAAAGGGTTTTGAGAAACAATCCAGGTGAAGTCAGTTATGTAAGTGAAGATGCTTCCATACAAATGAAGCCACCAGCCTTTAGGCACCATATCCTTACTATGTCAAATCTAAAGACTGTTTCTCAGCACCCATAACTACAAAAAATCTTGACAACTATACTAAGTTGCTTAAAAGCTACTGAGAAAAGAACATTTTCCCTAGGTCTAAACTGAGGCACTTTTGGGATGCTAGGATTCCAACACCACAAAGTATAATGCATTTCTACCTAGGACAAATATCACTTTTAATTTCTATCATGTTCTTCACAATTATTTTATTATTTCTGAACAGAAATTCAGAGGTTATATTACAGCTTTCTTTGAATGTTCTGCTGCAACAAAATGATCTGATCTCATACTGGAACCACTTTCATGTGCATATAGTACAGAATAGGGATTAAAAGGTAACAATCTATCTGGATTACTTCTCATCTACAAAGGGAGAATGTGCCTGGAAGAGTTGACAGAATTGACTGCCATGGACATAAAATGGTTAAAACAGCACATTTATGCATAATTGACACACTGTAAAGCTACTATTGAGTATCATACATCACATGAAAAGCAAGGTGTCTCTTAATAACAATCCAGTTGGTCAACAGTAAGAAGAAAATTTAACAGTATTAACTATGTGCTTACGGAGAGCAAGTTGCATGCCTTCAACAACTTTCCGTTTTCCTGTGGATGGTTTTGATTTTTTACTCCGTACGGTTGAACCCCGACTGCTCATTCCACTAATGACTGACATGGTATCATCATCACCACCAGCTAGCAAAGAATTTCGGTAAGACATCAGAGGAAGCCATACATCTTCTCTTCGGAGTGACATCTGGAAGGTCATGAACTTTTCCAAATAAACATACCTTAAAAAAGAAGTAGAAACCATTAACTTTGATGCACAGAGCTGCTAGTTCAAACAACACTTCCTCATAAGAGCCTGAGCCTAATACTTTCTTACTTAATCTCAACACCAGCAGCACAATAAAGAGAAGTGTCCACAGAATCCTCAAATGAAATGAAATGAAATACTTGACAGTATTCCAGCTTGACATTTGTTGAACAGCTGCTATGTCCTTGGTACTAAATAAGCATATACATTCCCTTTCTATAAAACGTAAGCTTGGTGGAAAACACTTGAATCCAAATTACCTTAAGGTTTTCTATGGAAAATTCTAACACTAAAATTTAACTACTATTCATGTGATTACTTTGTGCCAAGCATTTTAAATGAAGTAAATAAAGACATGATAAGACAAACTAATGTGACCATAATCATAAAAATGTCAGTGTCATCATGATTTGGATCCCAGGGTATGTATGACACTAGAAGTTAAGAAAGGCCACATTAAGCTTAGACAAACTTATCAACTAACTGTACTGTAAAATTCAGATATTTGTAGTAACTGGAATAAATAATTCTAATCAATTTAGATTTATCAGCATAATAAAAAAAGGCCATCCAATATATCTTTTGGGTTATAATATACTTCAACCATACTTAATACTACAGTATTCTTCACTGTAGCCTAACTGGCTACAATATTGGAAACCAATACCAGACTGAAATAAGAATCAACATTTGAGCCGAAATAAACTAACTGGGTATGGAGCTCCATACCCAGCATATCCCTTAACAGAATTAACAATGAGGTGCCTCCAGGCTACGGACATGTTCAGTGAGCCAAGAGTACTCGGGCAGCCATCATGTGGCCCTGAGTTCAAATGCCCTGGAACTCACTTACATATAAAGCTGGGCATGGTTCCAACTCTAGCACTGGGGAATAGAGACAGGGGAATTATTAGAGTTTGGTGGACAACAGGGTTGAGAAACCTTGTCCAAAGGAAGACACCCAACAGATTGCTCTGCCTCCACACAGACATGTATGCGCCTATACACCTCATGTGCTTGCACCCCAAACAAAAAAACACCTCCACAAACAAACAAATGAGTAGCCTCGTGGAAGCCACTCCTGTTTCTCTGCTTCTCCGCCCCTGGGTTTCCACTAAGCTGACTTTTTCATATATAAGTCCATTATACATATTCAGAAAACATATAGTTATCTATAAGCTTTCTTGTTTGTACTCAACATTATAGTCTTTTAAATCCATCAGTTTGGACTATGTTCCATAACATGAGTCATATGGTGCATATCCTAGGAGAAGGAGAGGCTATTTTGACATTTCCATATTCAAACAATTTAACATTCACTGTTCTTTAACAGTTCTTATTATATGCATGGTTCAAAGATTTTTCTACAGTATATGAATGAAGTGACTCAGCCTGGAGACAGATAGAAAGAAACCTAAACTCTACTAATGTCAGATCATTCCAAAACTAATCATGTGGCAATTTATGTCACCAATGATGCAGAAACAGTTCTATTGCTCTATATCCTTAAAAAAATTTAACCCTATCAGAGCAATTCAGTTCTGATCATCTGTTGCACAGGAAATACCACGTTTAATCAGCATTTCTCTGAGTAATGGTCTAAGATTTCTCTTTGAAGGGCATTGCCTAGGGTTGGAGACATCAGGCAAAGGAACTTGTTGCCAAGGCTGAGATGATCTGAGTTTAATGCTAGGGACCCAGAGAGCAGAAAGAAAGTACAATCATTCACAGGTTGTATTTTGACCTCCATATGTGTATTGTGGCCAATGTGTTAAGTGCATACACATATAATAAATAAATATAATATTAAAATGACTTAAAAAAACATCTCACTATGTTGCCTAGGCTGCTCTCGAATCTTTCTGTCTTAGTCCCCCAAATCCCCAAACAGCTAGGTCAACAGGCACACAGGACATTGCACCCAGGCAATGCAATTTTTCATTACAATCAATTCATATACAAGAAATTGCACAGAAACCAATAATACTGTTGAATCTCTATTACAAATGAATGTACTCATGGAATCTACATACTCATATTCCATACCCTTGAAAATACTTACTGTTTCTCTTCCCATTCAACAAATACAAGCTTCGAAGTAAACATTGAGTTTTGTCTGCTTTAAAATTGCAAATGTTATTGTTCAACTATAGAGTAGTTCTAATTTTCTACACCCTTATACCTCAAGGAGCTGGGGGTGAGGGCAGGCACTAGAAAGTCTTATATCTCAATAGCCACAATTTTAGTAAATTATCACACAGAAATTTCTTTAAATATTAAAATGAGGACAGGAAGAGTTAGTTAAAGGGAAAAAAGTAGTTTTGCTTTGCAGAACAGCCACATTCCAAGAAACATACTGAAACAGGATAAGCCTGATGAATTGTCAATATTATTGTCCTGTAAATGCTAACTACCTCCTCAGTTGGGCTAGAGCAAGAATTCAGCAAAGAATTCACAAGCACTCAAATTATACCTCAATAGTCACAAAAACACTGGGAGTGGAGCTCACAATACTAAAGTGCAGTACTATGGACAGAATATAGTGAAAGGTAGAAAACTGATGAGGGCAAGTAGAAAGTGTTTATAAACTAATATAATGCTACAGAGGTGTGCCCCAAAGAAATCAAGTGTAACAGTTGTTTATCTGAATATCAGAAGTAGTTAAGCTAGACATTTCTAGCAAATACATACACTGTTCTTTTATCTTGAAGGAGCAGTTTAGAAGAAAATTCACTGAGAATATCAAGAAATGCCAAGTTTAAAGGTGGGTGGCTCTCACCTTGTGGATTAGGCTCCTTAAAAGCAAACTCTATGCCATCTCTGTAAAGGAAATGAAAGAATGAAATATCGTGATGTTTACTTAGTTGCAAATTATCTAAAAATCAAAGAGTATCACCATGTCATTCTAACACAACATATCTCTCACACACACACACACACACACACACACACACACACACACACACACACACTGTCCTCAGCTCCTTCAGAGTGAGCATGACAGTAGCAGCCAACAGGCCTTAAGATACCACTGACACTCTAGGTGCCATTACTCATTTAATCCTTACAAGGGCCAGAAGCAGGCTACAGTTAATATTTCCATTGTGCCGGGAAGGAAATGAGGCCTGGAGAGATGAACCTCTCTGCTAGTTTCACGTGATCAGAAAACTAAAGTGGAAAGCTGGGATTGGGCCCAAACATTTTGGGTCCCAAGAATGCGTGTATCAGAATCATATTGCTGGGAACACTGAGGGAAACTGAGGCTGGCAGAGGCGTAGTGCCTTTCCCAGGGACAGTCAGCTGAAGAAGCGCCTGGGACACAGGAGAGAACAAGAGCTACCAGAGAAAGGGCCTTGCTCCTGAGGATTCGCCTGGCTTTGTCACTGAGGGGCTCTACCTACTTGGTTCCAGCAGCCTGGGTCTATTCCAGAAACACAGTAACAGACCCACCAGCTGGCCCCGTGGCAGGCTGCACTGCTCAAAGCATCCTTTGATCATGTGCCCACACAGTGGGGACATAGACAGAGGTTCAGAGGAGCTGGCTGTACTGCAGGAAACCTTGCAAAGAGGAAACTGGAGCTGGGAAAGGCATCCCACTGGCCTGACACCAACACTCTACCATGGCCAAACAGCAGGCTATGATAGGAGAATATAAGCAGATTGCATCCCTGAGCCTTGGCTTCTGCAGCTTGATTGAGATGCCTGTCCTTGCAGAGTCACTCTGGTGTTCATTAGCAATAGGCATTATCCAAAAAGGCACTTAATGTATGTCAGACACGATCCCGAGTGGCTTACTTAAGGGAAAATAATTTGCAAACAAGAGTCTATTCACTGCTGTATAATATACCATTATCGGGTGAGGGGAGGGAGCGGGAGAAGGGACTTACATGTGAAACAAGCTTGTTCCCTAACTAGAACTAATAAATAAATTAAAAAAAAAGTTCAGCATATGTTCTGTACTCAAATATTCTTTCCCATAAAAATAGCCCAAATTGCGTTGGTGGCGCACGCCTTTAATCCCAGCACTCGGGAGGCAGAGGC